TTATTTGCATGTGGCCACAGCCAGACGCATTGCAGTCAGATTTGCGATCGTGTCAATAGGAACACATGTGTGGCTGCGTGTAAGTGTCTCAACTCTCATCTGGAGTTCATGTGGCAACAAGGTACTTGAAATGACAAGTGTGAATGTTGCCAGAGAGAAAATCTCCAATCAAGTTACAGCAACCTGCCCTATCAAAGAGCATGGTTATAAAAGGAGCCTAGACTCTTATTCCAGTTAGCACAAACCATAACAGCAAAGTAAAACTGTACATCTAAGAGCAGTCCGATTTACTGACATGTTATACAATTCCTTTTACAGATGCAAACATATAAAACTGTCAAAAATATACAGAAATATGTTATCTTTTGTTTGTAACACAGAAAACCCAAGACCACACATGGAAGTCTAAATAGCACTTTAGAAATAGACTTCTTACCAGTCGTCTGTGCAGCCACTCTGCCACCCCCTCTGCAGTGGAATCAGGGATCTGACATCGCAGGTTGTCCCTCTCCTCATTGTCCATGAGCTCCAGCGCTCCCCGCAGGTCCTCCAGCAGATGCAGCACCCGCAGGCCACCCAAGAAAGGTGAAGTGGGCGACTGGCAGTCAAACAGGCCGTTGGAGTAGTCCATGGCCTTGGAGCCTGGGGAGATGGAGAGGAGGAGTTAGATGTGGGATGACACAAATACCACTCTTTAATTTACACAAATCATAAAGACAAGTTGGGAAATTACAATAGCTCATTGAGCTGGCAGGCTATTCAAAACAAAAACTAATTTGTTGGGTTCTCACAGACAAAAAAAGGAAGGATTTATGGCCACATTTGGTGCTGATCTGTGGGTGTGGTGGCAGCAGGATGAACAATGACCCAAAGCTATAAATTTTACTTTTTATGCAACTGTATGTTTACTTCTTTTTCCAGAAATTGCAAGTTGTGTCTGTCACCACAGGCTACAAACCTGCTTCATCTGGTGTGGGTGCTATTAAACAAACAGACAAAAACTCTGTAGGTTCACGACTAGAACTCTGTGTACGCACTAAGAAAGAAAAATGCAAACACATTTATAAAGCCGCACAAACTCATGGTTTTTGTATAATATATACCTCAAATATATACCTCAAATATTAGGAAACTGGGTGCTTGATTTCCTCTCTCAGAATGGATGAACAAAGACAAGCCCTTAATCATGTTTAAACACACTGCTGAACATTTTACAGATTGATGAGTAGACTGTAAAAAGATTGAAAGTAGCTAATAATCTAAACAAACTATATTGTATTATATTGTCTCTCACTTTAATTTTTATCTCCACCTTATTATAGACTGGCGTACTGTAAAAACGTGTGAACACCACATGGTCTACAGCATGTGTGAGGTACACACATTCTGCTTTTATACACCAGTTGGTGTGTGGCATAATGATTGCATTGTTTATACATCTGGCTCCAGGAGTCTGAGTGTAATTCACTGGTGACTGTGGCAGCATATTCAGAAAACCTTCTGAGAACACACCAAATTCACTTTAGTTGAGAATACTGCAGTTTAGATATTATCTTTAATAAAGTATTTTAGTTCCTAACAACTTCCCCTGAGAATATTGACATTTTTAAGTGACTTATCTTTTACACTGAGCATCTTTTAGCAATACTTTTACTCCTACTCAAGCTAACATTTGAACAAAATAACTATATTTAGCAAGTACGCACTTCCTTACTTCTACCCCCGCATAAACACAAACACACACACACACACAGTGCAACCACTTGTTTATAAGGGTTGTATCGAACATCATGTGACAAAGCATAAGCAGATAATGATCGTCTCGTGTGTCTCTGCGAATCATATTTTCGGATTTTTCATGGAAGCGAATGCAGCAACGTAATGACTGAACTCGAGTGCATGATGTTCCCAGTGTGCGCTGCAGCCTACTGTACCATCTGTCATCAGTCTTAAATGTCAGCCATAATGAAGATGTCCAACGGTAACAAAGAGGGAGCTAAATAAATAAATACCCAAATAATCATGGCTTCCCCACAGTAGCGAGGGAGTGGAGCTTGATGATGGCTGTGGTTTCTGCGGAAACAGGGGGGACTGGGGGATGTCATGTGACCAGCCGCCTCGCTCCCATTGGAAAGGTCAGCGCTATAATTACACACATCAGCGGAAAAGTAGGGACTCTGAAACTGTAGCTCTGCTCTGCTCATCTGCAGCGGCACAAGAACCCAGAGTGTGGCCAAAAGTTCCCGAGCCGGAGTTTGTATTCCAAACTCACAGAGCTTGAATAATCATTAGTTTCCGTCACTGCGGGGACAATGGAAACTTTCTTTCGTTTCTCATGGTGGAGGAATGCAGTCGAAGCAGAAAGAGCCAGTGATCTAGCAGCACAATTTAAGCATTATTCCAAACTTCAATGTATATTCAGGAGGATTAGATTAAACTGCAGGTAGAAGTGGAAGGAGAAGGGCACATTGTGTTACCGTCCAGTGGACGTAGTATTCCCAGCTTGCATTTCAATGGTTTCCAGATGTGGCTATGGGGCATGCCATGCCCACTTAAAAAAGGCTATTGCCAGGTCCTAAAGTCCAAGTGTACAATGTGGTTACCTGCTATGATCCCATCCATTTGCTCCAAGGCTGCTGCCAACATCTCACTGGCGTCAGACATCATCTTGTGCTCAATGAATCTGAAAGAGAAAAGAAGAACAGTTAGAAAGAAAAGACAGGAAAGATCCATAAAGGACTCTGCCAAAAGCTAAGACATTAATGAATACCAGAGTCTGCTTTAAAGTCAAACACTGTACAGACAGGGGGTTCCCCAAAATTTACAGTTGGCAGCAAAATGAGAAAAAAACAAAACATGAAATATGTGTTTATGGAAGTGAGACAATGTTAGTAAGCCAACAGATCAGATAAGATCCATTTAAGAGTATGTGTGATAGTAAACTGAATATTCTTGGGCTTCTGAATGTTGAGCAGACAAAACCAAAGACATTTTAAGATTTAGCATGAAGATGAGGGATTTAGAAAATGTGATTGTCACCACTTTTTTATATTTTATGGACAATTAACTGATTCATCAAGAAAATAATCCGCAGATTAATCAATAGTAACATAATCTAATCCCCGTTACTGCTTAGAGCATTGCTTTGCCCCTGTACAAGCGTCAGTTTCAAACTACGGCACACTGCACGCATAATTTGAAATCAACATCAGTAATTCTGATATGATACAAGCTCTCATTCTTCTCTTTCGAATGACTGCTGCATCAAATTAACCTTGACGTCTGAGCCACAAAACACTGGCAGCCTGAGAGACAAAAAACAAAGTGATTTGCAGGACTTTTTACCCAGCAGGCCTTCTTTCCGGCAGTCGGACCAGTCACGGGTGCTCATGGGCAGGATCCTATCAGAAATAATGGCACTATTCTCCCAGGGGTCTCAGGCCTCGTAGCACTGGCATGCTCGGCATCTCAAACTTCCATAACAAATTTGGACAGTATCCCCATGACCGCTGAATTCAAACACTTATCACATGTCTCTCCTTTACTTGCATTGGCCACTCATCACTTCAAACCAAATCTGATTTAAAAGGGTTGAGATAGTATACAGTATGTGGAGAGGGCAGCAAAAGCCCAGAACTAACAACATTAAAAACAGTGGCTCTACTTGTTCTCGGGGGGGGGGGCTGCAGGGTTTACTTCATTTCCTCCCTCTCTGGGGTCACAATGTCACACCCAGCAGGGTAAAACGTAGGCATTATGAGCATAATTAAACCAGTGGCCTCAGTATGAGCTGGGGTCTGGGGTCTGCTGCACAAGGGGCCTTAAGTGCTTCATTGCTTCATTTCAACAACACACTCCACTGAAAGGGGAGTAAGTTTCTTCCAAAACATCATACACACTGCTGTGTATTTGCTCTACTCCATAAAACATATTATTAAGATTGATTCTGGTGATGTAGGCGGACACACGAACCATTTCGTGTAATTTAACACAACACACAACTGGTCAATGAGCATGCCAGAAATACCATGGATTTCAAAATAAAACAACCTGCTTTGCAATTAAATTTTACATTTCCCATGGGAAGTTCAGGGTGCAGGAATGCCACACAAACAAATCTTAAAACTAATAAGTTTTCCTCCACAGGTATTTCCAGAGTTTGATGGAAAACCATCACTCACTCTCACCAGGATGGAAGCTGTATTTTGTCAGCTGCATGTTTCACCCCATGGGAGGAACCTAAAGCATGTCTGTTTTCCAAAATGAGAGGTTCTTTTGTTGAGAATGCAAAATATTTTCTTTCCCCATGTGAATGCAGAACACAACAAATGGCACCAAGAGAAAAAACTGTTTGCCATCTTATTCTCTACTTTAATTATCTTGTACAGTCTCCTGGTCATGATGCAGACAAGGCTGTAGAAAAAGTAGGATGGAGACATTTGAAGATTAAACAAAATCACAGTGTTACCATAGTTGAGGCTGATCTCATCCTTTGTCTGCTGTCTTGTGGTAAAAGCCACATCAAATCCCCTTCAGTGGAAAACAGAGCGTCCACATGCAATTCAGAATTTAGGCAAAATCTTCTGCGGAAGAGTCAAACCAGGGTTTCATGAGCTCTTGTGCTGGTCATGTGGCAGAAACTGGCACTGAAGCTTGCCACGTAAACCAGTCTGTCCATTCTTCAGACCCTTTAAAGTGCCAGGCTGAGATATTTTCCACTTCCTTTTGCATCAGTGATGAGCAGGTCATCCATAAAGAATTTTCTGACCAAAACCTCAAGAGTAAAAAGGCCCACAGTTGAGGGTCCATCTCTTTAACCATGTGAAGAAGTGTCTGTAATGAGGATTGATAATGCCACAGTGCAGGAGTGAGCAATACACACATTCCTGAGCAGGTTAGTTCTCCTGAAAACCAAACACTAATGCCTGGTACTGACATCCCCGCCGACCTCTGTGACCCCACTCCCTCCCTCCACCCTTCAGACTAAACCCTGTGGACTTCATTCAGTCAAAAACTAAGACTAGAGGCTGGTGGGATTTTTTGTTTGTCAATTAAAACCATGAAAAGACCAAAATTGAGAATGTACTAACAAGTATTATGTGTCTATCAAAGTCTGGTGTATCTTATTCCTCTGTGCTATTAGAGCTTAATCTTTATCCAAGGCCAATTAAAAACAGTATAATGACCCACACTGCTGCACTGGGTGACAATGCTTCTCCGCTGTTATTTTGACTCAATACCACATACACTCAGTAAAGCATCAAATGTGTATTCACCCCAATAAACGCACTATTTCCTGCTCCTGTCTGAATAATCAGCCACCTGTTTTGGGGAATAACGTAGCCTTTCTACAAAATTGAACTCATATTTGTGACCCATTTTTAAAGTCTTCAATAGGAATCAATGAGACTACCTAGGCTAGTCAAAAAGTATTGAGGGACTGGTTTTGGTCTTTTTTAGTGTTGTTGACACAAACAGAAGAACAGAATAACACCAATATTATCCTTAAAGTGATACTTTACAGGGGTTCTACATTTCACTCAAAGTCATTCAACTCCAAAATAAAATGTGTTTTTGGGAAACACAAGAACAGAATATTTATATTCTTAAAAAGTCATGCCCACTTCTTTCTGTCGGGACAATGTAACTTCTCATTAGCTTAGCTAACGATAGTTTACTGTGTGCCAAGTAGAAAATGTTGAGTAATGAATAAAGGACTAGAGACAGCTTCGGCAGGCTAACAGTATAAAACCACATTACAATGGCTCTGTTCCCGTAGAAGATTCACACAAACTTGTTAAAAAGCCATCAATGTCTAATCTATCTAGATGTATCTGACAGCAGTAATATTTCCAAGTCTATTTTATAGACAGACATGTCAGTCTAAACAGCAAACTTGACTTTTCTAATGCTGTAAGGTGGTTTTAACACCAACCAGATGGAGAGAAAGAGATATGGAGGGGGAGGGACAGTGCGTTTGAAAAGAAAATAGGCTGGGATTACTTGACCCTATGTTGAGTGGTTGGGGTCTAAAAACACACACACACACACACACACACACACACACACAAACCCACGCCTCTGCTGGTGCCAATAGCCTTGGTCCAGCTGTGGTACAGATGTGCATTTCAGAATTGTACTGGCTCAGAGTACTAATGGAAGCAGCATTAGTTGTAGTACAGTAACACAAGTAATAGTAGCAGTCGAGAGTTTTAGAACTGGTAATAGTACGGTGGACAACCCTGCTGCTTGTTAAATAGTAAAATTAAGTAAAAGTGTTGCACTGTTTGTGAGTCTAAGGCTTTAAATCACAACCATCAATCAAAACAAGCTTAAATTATTTGCTTTTCATTGGTTTTAATAATTCTGCAATTCAAATTATCTTCTTGCAGATAGTTTCAAATTGAATCCCCATTAAATGTTAAAAAAGGTGTCCCACCAGGCTCAATACTAGATCCCTTGCCATGAGTTTTCCAGCTTCAAGTTGATGATACCATCTTGGACACCATCAGTACCACTAACTAACTACTAGGGCCGCAATACCATTATTCATCTTATCTGTGAAAGATCCAAAATGGCAGCAAACTCTCACATATGAGAGACTCCTAGAACCATTAAATGTTTTATTTCAGCTTAAATGGCTCAAAACTGGTCCTAAACAATGCTGTCACTTCTCTTTTCATACCTTAAGTAACCAACATACTGCTGAATTATCCTATATTTAAAAGATTGTTTGAGATGTTTCTCATCAAAAAGAGAACATTTATTATACAATAGTCTCTTATCCTGCTGGGTTATTGAGATACACGGTGTGCTTGTGTTGATGCCGCCACTCATGAACCACTGATCTCTAGTGGCATTTAATTAAAGTGACATTTTATTATTTATTCAAGACAGCTATAGAGCTATGAAGAGATATATAGCAGAGTCATATTTCATTACTGCATCCAGAAGACATCAATACACTTGTGTATGTGTGTATTTTGAAAGCTTAATTAGTTAAGACATCGACCATGAGTGGCTGTAAAGTTAGTTTATAAAGTTCCTCATACCTTCAGACACTTGCAAGATATGTTTGATCTCAACAAGAAATTTCTAAATAAATAAACCATAATTAATCTGCCAATTCTTTTTCGATATCATGTTAGAAAATAGTGAAAAAATACCAAATCACAAGCTCCCTGATGTCTTGTGATGTCCATTCAAAAGTCCAAAACCCAAAGATATTTAGTTTACTATCGTAAAAGTCAAAGCAAATGGTCATATTGGAGAAGCAAAAACTAGAAAAATGACTATTAATCAGCAATCATAGTAGCTTAAGCTCAAACTCTAAAGTACTATCACTCCTACAATACAGGAGTAATAGTACTTGAAGAGGTAACGTGACTGTGAAGCGAGACATGGACTCGTGGAAGTGAATCCCACGTGAAATACGAGCACGAGTCAAACACCCTGCCTTTGTTTACACCTCCCACTGAGAGATGCTCCAGTGGACTTTAAGTTTGGGCTGCTGTGAGGTCGGACTGTTTGACAGAGACGACAGCGCAGGCTTTAAACCACTGCTTTCTTTCTACACAAACAACTCTTTGTCTTTCAGAGACTCACATGATAGCACTGCGACACAGATCCCAAGTTATTGCAGTTTTTCCATGTGGCCACAACTGCATCACAGTCAGAAATCACATTGGAGGGGGGGGAAGAAAGTAAAGCGGATTGTAGAAAGGGGCAGGAAAGACTGAGTAAGAGATCCCAGCAAGCCAAGAAAAACTGCCCTTCATTTCTTTTGTTATCAAAGTCTTAGCACAGAAGCAGCCCTTTCTAAGTATGGAGACTTATTTAGGGCGTAATTCACAGCTGCTGCGTCGATTCAGAAGATAAGTAAAATACTGGCAAAGAGTTCTACAGTACTGCCCACAGTGAAACCATAAAAAGGCTTAAAAACAGAGGCATCCCCACACTCAGGAAGACCTTCACTCGGTCCTGTCAGGAAGCGTTTCCTGCCACATTCTGGAGAAATGTCTTCCTCTTCGTCAGAAATGGCCATTTCCCAGCAATCCCGACACGACTAAAAGCCACTCATACAGAAAGCTGGGCCTTTAATGACATTCCTGTGAGACAACTGTTTCAGATTACGTTAAGATTTTAATTTAATTTCAGAAAGATGCAAACATCCCAATATATCATGGGACTCAAACGTGACACCTCCCTATCTTTCAAAACACACCACCACAAGAGTGCTGTACAAAGAATGCAAGGAATGCAAATGTCAAGGAAAAAAAAAAAAAAAAGGTGGCTGAGATAGAAAGGTCCCCGTCGCTTCTCTTCACACGTGGCTACAATAAAAAGAAAAATACATAAAGTAGAGATCTTCGGGGTCTGTGCCATGTTGATCTTGCTGCAGGCCAAGTAAGCCGCTAACACAAACTAGGGCCAGAAAGTGGACTTTGTCTCATCTTTACCTGACTGAGCAACAAACAGTCGCCTGTTGCCTGAGGAAACAAGATAATTGGTGCCAGGAGATTAGATTTATTTATTTGCGTCTTAAACAACCACTGAGAAGACGCGAAAGTGAGTTTTATTATGCTAGTTCTCCCACTGTGACATCAGATAGCGCTGTGCAGGCAAGTGTGCAACAGCATGGGTTCTCTGTGCAGCCGACTGTTAGCCGTGAGAGTGTGGCAGGATACAAATATGGTTATTGTCAGAGAGGGAAATAAAATCCTTTGTTATGCTTTCAGTTCTCTACCCAGATGCCAAGACATCATCAGACGTACGCAGAGAGAGGAGGGCTGCCAGCAGGTCATGCAGCGCCTCAGGAGGGACCTTTTTCCCTGAACAGCTGTACACTGCAGAGAGTTTACCCAAACAAAGGCTGCAAAAGTCTGAGACTGATAATGAAAGAAGCTGACACTGGAGCAGAGGCAGCTTTTTAAAACTGCCGGCTTTGAGTTGGCTGCTACCGCCTTTTCCTACAGTAAATGCTGCTGGGAGCCAAACTGAGTCTGACTGGAGGTTCACCGCAGTGATTCATGATTTGGCTCGTACATTAATGGACATGTGATGCAAAAATTAGCTCTGCTTAAATTAAAAACAAAAGCGAGCATAATTCAACTCACTGAAAGAAAATACACTGCCCTGAAAAATCTGAGGAAATATTACTTGATTTATTTATCCTTCTCTATGGATGATTTCACATGTGTGTTTTTGTCAGTATGAAGTATAAACACTAGCAGTGGTGCAGCTGGTGGTCTTTGTTGAGTAGTATAGAGATTCTGCCATTAACAAAACCATTAAATAATTGCTATTCTCTCAAGGCTAATAGCTATGGTAATTTGATCTAATATCAAAGCATGAAAAAAAGTACCATATTTGAGGAAATGTTACTTTATCTCACTATAGTTGTTTCTTTTTTCCTTCTCTATGGATGGTATATGATATGAATTAGTAGATTTTACATGTGTGTTTTTTCTAATATGGAGTGTAAGCACTACTAGTTGCCTATATTGAGTAGTTTAGAGATTCTGCCATAAACAAATATAAAAAACCATAATTAAATGTCCCAGGAATAATAATAGCTATGGGAGATTAATCTGAAGCACAATAACTACACTAATCTCTTTTAAGTCACATTAACTGTAAAATGTGCATGTATCGCATTTAAAAATAGAAACAAATGCTTATATTAACGTTAAATACTCAAAACATTACAAGACAGTTAGCTACTCTTACTTGGAGTTAGTTAACACAAACACTTTTTAATTAGCTAAATCACGTCCAATTACAGGGAGAAAACAACAGAAGCGGCTAGCAGTCCCAGCGACGCGTTGATAAACAAACCTTTCAAAAGAAAAACTACAAAAGTTCATTGAAACTTCGGTGAACTTACAGTTTCCGACCGACAAATGCTGATGAAGGGATCCTGCAGTCTCCGGTCGCTTTACTCCACAACACTTTGGGCACTTTGTTTTCACAGGAGCTTCATGGCTGGCGTTCACCTTCCCATTGAATTTCTGTGTGAACTGAAGGTTTCATCCCAACTAAAGAGCGATTCCAGCGGCGTCGAGCTACCCGGACGGCGCGGGGAAGCCCCGAAACGGAGGCCTTCAAAATAAAAGCGTTAAATTGTTGGTAGTCACTGGGATACTTCTAGTTAACTAACTTACATCTCAGAGTTAAATATTGTACTTTTTACTCCGCTACATTTGTCTGACAGCTTTAGTAACTAATGCACCTTAATTGTTTTCATCCCCTTTAGTGTCCAGTGAAATCAGCATCTACAGATTGTGTGAAGGGTTAAGTGTGTCTTTAAGATAAGATAAGATAAGATATTCCTTTAATAGTCCCACAATGGGGAAATTCCAATCTTACAGCAGCAAAGTGGATAGAGAAAAAAAACAGTATAAAGACAGTATGAAAAAAAATAATATAATATAATATAATATAATATAAACACTGTACAAGAGAGAAAAAACAGTAAAAAACCACAACAGATAACACAATAACACAAACACTAGCAGCATGGGTCAACACAATTATCATACTTCATGAGATAAATAAACTATTTAACTATTAAACATCATATAGAAGAGTAAGAGACTGACAAAGAAATGTTTTCTAAATAATGAACGTTTTACTTTTAGTACATTTTGTTCATAATACTTACATAATTTTCCTTAAGTAAAGTTCTGAATGCAGGTAGTTTTCCAGTGTAGACCTATTGATATTTCTACTTAAGGATCTGAATACTTCTTCCACCACTACCCAACACATCTCTTGATAAATCTGAGGGGTCACAAAAAGGAAAAAAAGAAAATATAATCAAAACAAAAAGAAAATGTCTGATTTTCATCAAATGTTTAGCTACTTTTTTTGTGAATAATTTATACTTGTTATACATGTTTCTCCAGTTCAAGACAGCTATTATTTGTTATTGTCAATTGTGTCTGTAACTGTGTCCCTGGTATGTACAATGATAGCTTTCTTTACTCTCTAATATACCTTTTAGAATATTTTTGACTTTGACCTTTTTCCTTGTGACGAATGTTTTTTTCACTTTTTCAAATTCTGTTAATTGAATGAAATGTTTTTGAAAGTTTGAGATTATAACCTGCTCTATTTTGAAAGTCCCTGCCGGAAACAATATTTGTTATTGCATTAGATTTACACTGCGCATGTTTTTTGCGCTTTTTCTTTTCTTTTTTCTTCAAAAACTCGAAACGCTAATTGTCTAAATAGTATAAACAAATGTAAATATTGTAAATGTACTTATTTGACCGGGTTTAGCAAACCTAAAATCCCCAAAAACAGGAAAAGTGGGAGTTTTCAGCTTTACAGAAATAGTTTTTATAGACGTAAGAAAATATTACCAAGTGCGTCAAAAACAGTGCGCTCTAACTCATCTTCATTTTTCTGCATATTCAAAAAGTATCCCTTTTTAAAAAGAAAAGATATGATAACAATATTTTTCCAGACTCAAACATATAGTCCGAAAAGTCATCAGACGTTCAAAATTACGAGGAGACCCTGAAGGCAACAGTTATATGTTGGTCAATCTTGCTTGAAAAGCCTGAAATCAGTTTTATAGCAATAAACAGCCTCTTTGTTGCCGTGTATCTAGTTTATCCGACACTGTCTGATGGCAGTCGTAAAAAGGCTTCAGAGCAGAAATGTGGTAAAAGTGTCTGACAGAAATTAGGTGAAAAATTACCAAAACAAAGGAAATGTTCATGTTCACATCTCAAGTGAGCTGCAGCCATATCTCAACTGTCTTAATGCTTTTCATTTTAATGGCTTTTATCTGGATTCATCTCACCAGTGCACTAAATGAAACAAAGTGTCTCTAATAATAAAAGTGTAGGCACGTTATAAAATGAATTATATTAAGACCTTATATAAACTGTCTTACCTCATATGACAAAAGTAACTATGCATATTTACTCTAGTACTATATTTAAATACAATGCTGTGGTACCTATACTTTAAGCATTTCTATTTTATGGAAAACAACATGTTGCACTTTTTCACTTTCATACATTTAGTTCACTGCTAGTTTCTTTGTAGATTTTAGTTTATTTAATATTATGCATTGTTAATGGTAAATTAACCAGCAGTATATAAAATAGTTAAGCTCCACCTCACCTAGCTGGGTGAATTCTACTTTACTACTAAGTATTACTGGAGTAATCGGATCTGAATGTGTCTTCTACCACTGGTATAAATCCAAATAATTAGCAAAAAACCCTGACAGGCTTTCCAGCGTCCCACTGCTCCACCATTAAAAACATACTTTAAAAAATTAGAAATTTCTACATTATTTTTAAGACATAACATGACAGACAAGTTTACATTAAGATAAACTGTCCCATTCATATAAACACAGTGTGTATGTTCTAATTTTTTTAAATAATTTTATTTGCTCTTTTTTTTTCTTTTTTGTTGCTTCATCTAGTCTCCTTCTTGGTCCGTTTCCAGGACAGTATATATAAATATATTGTACGGCATATGGCTTGAATCTCTGACACTAAATAGACTGACTGTGCAAAGCATCAGCAAGAACAAGAAAAGGATCTAAGTGGTGCAATAAGCGAGGGCAGTTCACAAAAGAGTTGGCTGAGCTATAATAAAGTGGCCAGAGCGTGGGTGGATGGGGGGAAGCAAATTGAAAGCAAATCACATTACACCGAGTGCAAATTAAAGCCCCATGCTTACAGAGAAAAGGTCATATTCATTTCCAGCCAGCTTCAGAATAATCACCTGTTGTCTGTGGAAAAAACACACGCTCTCTAAATATTTTCCCACGCAGTCTTTCTGTTCTCTCCAACAGTTGGAGACAAAAAGCACAGACGTTTCAACCAGCAGGTGGAGCTGTTCTCTTGATCTCTGGAGTGAACACAGTGAGTTGCCCTTTATGCAGGAGCCTTGACTTTGTCTCATAATACAACAAGTGCATGTACTGTTGTAACACACTGTCCCCAGAGCAGAATAAGTGAAGGAAAATTGTCTCCCTCCCTGCAGTGTGGAGAACACACAAACATACCACATGGTGGTGTTTCATTTAATGGCAGCAAGCTTAAACGGTACTGAGAAATAGATGATGGTACAGCAGTCTATGGTGCAGTATGGTGAACGCATGCTTCTCATCACCATGTGAGAGAAATCTCTTTAAGAGTAGAGCAGACTGTTCCCTCTCAGCTGTTTCTATATGCTGTCTGACATCCTACACATATCCTGTTTGCACTCCATTTTTCAGATTTCATATATTTGCTCCTTGGCTGCATTTGAAGATCATTATGGTGCACACTGATAGAGGAACAGAAAGGACTGTCAGCTAAAGTGTTACTCTGGAGCTGAAGATCGGTTTCATAATGAAAGTCATCACAGTGTGAGGATGTAAGATGAATCAGAGGATTAGTCAGGTGGATAAAGGGTAAGCAACAGGGTTTTTTTAAATTATGCATGTCCAAAATCACCTTGAGACTTGAAAAACATAAAATTAGAGATGTATGATCCTAATTTTTCCCTGCTGATACTGGTGTTTGTATTCACAGTTCATTTTTCCCAAATTTGTGTGAAACTCATTAGCATCATTTTTATAGAAGGTAACCTGATGCTAGGAATTGTGAGTGACTGCTGCTATGAATTATTGTACTTTAAAGTGACACTGACGAAGAATCCTTATTTAATGTGGATTGTTTGTAACTGGCTCATTATGCAAGGTCCGTTTTAGTCCTGATATACCAGATCGGCGCATTGCTAGAAATTCAACATCCACACTTTTTTTCAGAATCTGGCTGGTTGTGAGACACTGCACACTCAGAAATATATCTAAAAAAATATTTTATTGTTTCCAGAAGTTTAGTATGTTGTCCAAATAAGATCCCATTTTCAAGAGAGCCCTAGACCTACAAATCTCTTGAATCGTTGCCCACGTATCCAATTTTCCAAATATTGATTTGAATAGGTTGAGAGTTGGCAGCTAGAACTGAGACCTTTGTAGGTGGGACTAAGAACAGGACTGTCATCTTCTTGTGCAAAAGGGATAAAAATGGTAACAACCAAAACATTGATGTTGACACAGCAAACAGGCTGTTATACACTGACTTAGAGAAGGAATAACTCCTAAAGTGGCATATTTATATAACTCACTGTAACTCTTATCACAGTTTCTGTATAAACTGAGAATTACCTCAGCCTGAAGTGATACATCACTTCAATCAGAATCTATTTATTGGCTGTGTGTGGGCACATTACTGACAGGTCTGAGTAACTCTCATACTTACTACATACTTCAATAACACACCCCAAACAGAAATTGAACAAGATGAACACAATGACTAAATAATGAGGTGGACCAAAATGGTAATTAACTGTCATTGGCAAGGTAGAGGGTGGCCTGGGTAAGTTTAAAAATACTATATGATATTCCTTGTGAAAACCATGTATCTTCAAAACTTTTCATGACTAACAAAAAGAAGTGAGAGAAATATCTCAACTCAGAAAGGAACGCATTAATCCTTCAGTTATCCTGAAGAATCGCTAAATTTGGAGATTCACGTTTTTTCAATATATTCCTTGTGAATTTCATGCAGACGAAGTTTTTTTCTCCTCCAATAGCAGCTTCAATACCTCGGTGAATACATTTGTGTCTGGTGGCATATACATGTACGCCAACTGGTCTCACAAATGACTCTTATAAGACATATGAGCCTCAGTCTGATGGGAAAGCATCCCTGTGCACCTCATCATATAGCAATTATGGCAGTAAAAGTAATTAGTAATTTTTTACAACCTCCTTCAGTCTATTGAGTGTAGCACTTACTGTTTCATGAAATCCTGAAAAACTGCTGAAGCTGATTGGGATTCTGACACATTACTTTGATCATTTAAAGGGAAATTAGGCTGCTGAAAGCTAACTCTGCAGCCGGCTGTCATTCTGGCTCCATAAAGTGTTTTGCCTATCTAGCACAATCCCTGGAGACCACGTCCCAGCGTCCTATCATGCAGCATGGTGATTTTAGTGGCCATGGCAACCT